GCCCCCGCCCACAGCTCCTCGCCCCCAAGTCCCAGAGCTGGCGAGCCGCGCGGGGGGCGCCCAGACCGTTCCTGGGGGTCGTTTTCGCTCCAAATCCACAAAGCTCGGCGCGGTGTCGCCCTAAAACTTCAGGATCTGTTGTCTGAATATTTTAAGGAAACTCTTTAGCGTGGAGGTCACCCGGGGGTTGGAGTGGGCGACTGGAGCTTGGGATTGTGTTTGTATTTTATTGTTGTTATCTGGTCTATCTTCCCTACAACTCTGAAACCAGACTGTCCCCACTCGGAATCCCTGTTTCGCCCCCCGAATAGCCGTGCGGGGGAGTCACAGAACAGCACCGTCCCCACCGCCCCAAATGGAGCTGCTGGCAGGACCTGCCCGCTGCACGGACTGCAGGCCGCAGGGACGGACGCGCGCGGATGCTCGGCTGGCAGCGGGCGCACCGGTTCCAGATTGCAGCCCACCGGGGGAACTTAGAAAATCCCTCTGCAGCTCATTGGCGACGTGGTCACCTTTGCTTGGGACACTGGCCCAGGGAAATGTCAGTGAACTGGGGGACTGCGAAATGCCGCTAGCTGGCTTGTCTGTGGAATGGTACGCGTGTGGTTTAAAAGGCGGTACATCCATACACCTCAAACTGAATCCGGCAAGTCTGGATGTCCGGAGGCTCGGGCGGAGCTGTGAGGGCGTGCGTTTTACACCAGTACTTCAGGTTCTTAGACCTTTGCCCAGCCTCTCGCCCCTGCTAGGAATGTTCTTTTCTTCCTCTCTGTGTGGTCTGATCTTCCAAGAAGGGTTCACTAGCTCTCCTCTTTGAACTCTAGTTTGCTGCATGAATATGTGTCCCTAACCACAAGCTATTGTTGGATTATGTATCTAGGCAGGCACGCACTTCTCTGTGTGTGGGTGTTTATGTGTAGCGCTTCTCCCCTACTCCATCATAAAAGCTCCCTGAATGCAGGCCTGTTTTAATACTTTCTTATTGTCACTGTTCTCAGCACAGCACCTTGGAAGCATTCAACTGATAATTGCTAGAGGAAGACTCAACGGAATGCGAGTTAGTTGTAAATTGTTTTCTCATTAACATACTTCTTAGCTAACTTTTAAACTTAATAGTACCCATTTAATCTCTACTACAAATAGAATTAAGTCGGCATTTACCAAAACGACAAAAACAAAAGCCAGCACTTCCTTGACACCCTCACCCGCCCTGCCGCCTCCCACAGACTTGAAAGAGACTGCAACCTTGGTTCATAACTGACCAGATTCTCTGGATTACAGCTATCAGTGGAATTATGCTCGAGGTTTTCTAGGCATACAAAGTCAGTTCTGTTCGGGTCGCCTATTCTTCATTGCCTACTGTGTGCCAAAGTCTGCTGGATAATACAGGGATCACGTTGGCTCCCTAGTTTTAGTAAGACCCTGAAGAATAATGATTTTCCCAGGTCGTTCATCTTTGTTTCATTCTGCTCATTTCCAACAAGCGTTTTGCTCTCTGGTTCTGGATTAGATTTCTCTGGCTGGGCGGAGTCTGTTAGTGTGGCCTGTGTTATGTCATACATTGACAACTATATTTATATAAGGGGGGCTGAAACATGTTTTCACATACTAGTAATAAATCTTGGTAAAGCAGACAAGTCACTGTGTCTCCAAACCTTTCCACCCCCTTCTTCCCACCAAAGGACACATCAGTTCCTAGCAAGCATTTGTCCTAACAGCTTGTGCATCTGGTGGAAAAGTATTACCAGTAAGTTTAAATATTAAAATTAATGTATTCAGATAGCTCCACCAGTAAAATGGTCACAAATAGGAAAAAAGGGTTCCTCTTTCCAAAGTATCCATTACAGGCTAATAAATAATGCTGTTCATTCACATGCCAATGAAGTTAGGAGCTCAGGACTCTTAATTGTTTTTCCAGGGACAGGCCCTAGGTCGTCGGATGAAGCGTGACTGGGCTGCCCCTATTCTCTTCTTAACCTAGCCAGATCATCTCCTTTCCAACGGGTTCCCCGTGATTTCTCTCTTTGACTTTGTTTTGGTTGTAGGTATTTGGGAGGCAGTTGAAAATAATCACCCACAGCTCCCCTCTGCTCACACTGGGACCTCCCTTTCCCTACAGTTCTCTTTCCCTTTCTTTTTTCAGCAGGGACTGGTGCTTCTTCCCATCCATTTTGCAAGCATCATCCGGCCCTGGTTAGTTCTTCTGACTTCCCTCAGGCATCTGTGTTCTGGTTGCTTATTAACGTGCAAAAAGTGTGGTAGAGCAGAGAAAGAAGATCTAAAAAGTGAGCCAAAGTTGCCAGCGGGACAGAGAGACTTGGTTGAATAGGCCGCCGTTGTGCAGCTGTACTTAGAGATGTCTTCGGAGCTCTGTCTGAAAGGGCCCTCAGATCCCTCAGTCTAGAGCTTTGCCCTTTGGCAGAACCTTTTCTAAGAGCACCCTGTCAAAACTCAAGCATCATTCGACAAATTCCTGATCCAGCCTGAGGGTGCTATTGCGCATGAGGTAAAGAAAGAGCGTCTACCACACATTTTGCTATAGGAAAAAGCAACAGAGTGATGCCTTGCAGCTTTTATGGTCAAACAAATGCAATGACGTAATTGGGAAAAGCTGTCTCCAGATAGAAGAGTAAAGGGCAGTCCTTTGAGTTTGGGTGATGACCACCATTTGAGGGCCTGGGATCAAAGCTGCAGTCAAACATCAAAGCCCACTTGAGCCTAGTGCCAAAAGAGTGACAGTGAATTCAACTTCATATAGAAACTAATTACAGTTTGACCCCCACAAGCAGGCTTTAGTGCCTACAGCAGGGAAAGAAAGCAGACATTGAAACAAAAAATCAGGAAAAAGGAAAGTAGATAGCAAGCTGCAGCCATTATCCTGTGATGGGGACCTAGACTCTAAAGATCACTGGCAGGCAGAGGGGAGCAGCAGATGGCAGAGGAAGTGAACTTTTGACAATGCTGGCCTTGTCTGAAAGGTTGTAAAACAGGGTCTTCCACCCTCTCTGGCTGCGCGACGGACAATCCACACTCCTGAAAGCAAAGGTTGTGTTCCAGGTGACGCCAGGCACCTTTGCAGCTCGCATAAACAGGGGCCTCCTCACACAGAGCTCCAGCACATTGCCACCTTCTTTCATTTTTTTGGTGGTGGCAGAGGTGCAATCCAGGAAATCATTACCGCTAAGCTGTACCCCAGCCTTTCTTACATTTCTTTTCATTTTGATACCAGCTCTGCCTACAGTTGCCCACGTGGGACTGAAACTTGGATTCTTCCTGCCTCCGCCTTCTCCAGTGCTGGGATCACTGAGCCACTGGGCCTGGCTCTGTCTCACTGTCTTCATTATTGGTATCTCAGAGTGCAGTCACTTAACTTGTCATTTCGACTGGTTCTCTTTAAAGGCAGAAGGTGAAGGACATCAAGTGTGCAAATACCCTAGAACTACACACTCTGGAACTGAAGCCAGGAAACAACTAAGACTCTTTCCTTCTCAGGCAAAATTTAAAAATATTTCAGAGACAAGCGGTTTCCTGAGACACCTGCAATACATGGGCTTTGCCTTCACTTGGCGTTAAGGAGCCTGTTCTCCAATCACTTAATTTTTTTTTTTTTCAGAACCGGGGATTGATAAATGCCAGGCAAGCACTTATTCTACTAATCCATCTCCCCGGTCCCCCACTTAAAATTATTAATACCCCAAGCTGGCAAACCACTGGACACCCGGCCTGATGATCCACAGAATATTTCTTGATAAAGATAAACACCAGTGGCTTTAAAGTAACAAAATCTAAATGTAAAATGAATGTTTTTAACAAGTGAAAAACTAAACAGCAGACTTCTATGGTATCAAAGCCAATCTGGGGGCTGGTGAGATGGCTCAGTGGTCTAAAGCACCTACTTAGAACAAGCCTAGCCAAAGCATAGGGACAGCGCTTCAATCCCCCAGCACCACATGCCAGCCAGCCCCGCCCCCTGGTGGGCTGAGCTGGCCACACACACACACACACACACACACACACACTTAAATAAATAAAATTTAAAAAAACAAAGCCAATCTGTACTATGATCATTACATTGCATCTCTTTGAATAATTATTCATTCACTCAATAGATATTTACTGAGTACCTAACACAGAGACACAAGGATGAAATAATTGGGTTTAGCCCCTACCTTGTGGTCCGGGAGGTAAATTGGAACAAACTAAATAATATATAACTATTATAATATATGATTATGCATTATGCACATGTGTATTTCCAAACTGTGAAGTAAATATGATATTTTAAATAAAAGTGGATCTATTTTTCAAGGAAATGCAAATCAGAACCATAATGAGACATCATCTCATCCCAGTTAGAATGGCATCAACAAAAAATAACAGGTACTGGGGCTGGGGAGATGGCTCAGTAGAATAAGCGCTTGCCTGGCAAGTACAAGGGCCTGAGTTCAATCCCTGGTTCCGCCAAAAAAAAAAATAATAATAATAATAATAATAATAATAATAACAAGTACTAACATGGATGCAGAGAAAAGGGGCTGACACATCATTAATGG